CCTTTAAATAAGCAGTGAACCATAAAATAACATGTTCTGATAGTCTGATAGTGATTAGGAGTTTGAGGTAAAAGTTGTAGTTAATAGTAAGAACTGGACCCCAAACTAAAGTGTGACGGTTTAATCTACACCGCAAACTAAGCAACCATGAAGTCAAAAGAGCTTGTTGATGCATTGCAGATAAAGCTCATTATTTTGGAATAAGGCGCTGTGTATGTTTCTAGTGTGTGTGGGAGAGCAGCTCCGACTCAGAGTCTTCATTACAAAGCAAGCTTTACCAAAGCTGGATTCCTCGCTGAGTTCCCGGCCGAACTTCTGCATGGACTCTGCCAGGACGGCTTCGGTCTGTGTGTAGCCGGGACCTTTATCTCCTCCACGGATTTTAGACATGGAGCTCATCATACTCATTTTGGCACGAGTTGCTAATAAACAAACAAACGAATGAGATTTACATTTTTTTTATACTATTAAAAACTAAATCATTCTTCACATTTACCTGGATTGGGCTGCAGGTACTCCGTCGTCTTGGTCATAATGTCCATCACCGCCCTTGTGGTGACGTCAACTTTCTGTGATACAGTAAAGATGAATGTTACGAAAGAATTAAACACTGCACATGTTTGACATGTCATGTTTTGCTCACAGACCCCAGTAGCTGCTCATTCCTTTATTCTGTCATCCATCCATCCCACGTCTTTATAAATACACACTTATAAACACACTCAATATATTCTCACTTAATTAGGTGGTGGTAAACTAGAATTGTATTTCTTCAGATGACCTTCCAAAAGTAGAAAATTCTAATAAATATCTAATATCTCTCTTTCTGCAGGAAACTTACCTTTTCCATTTCCAAAAAGTCTTCATCTAATTTGGTTCCCTCTGCCCCGCCGACCTTCTCACTAACTTTCTGCAAAAGGAGAGAAAACAGTTTTATGGGCTTTTTTTCTTCCTTTAAATTTAGCTTGAAAACTCCTGTTCTGTAAAACATATACATAACATCGCATTTGGACCACAGATTTAACCCAAGCACTTCTTTCACTTGTACACTGATGCAATATACTGCATAAAAAAAACAATGAAGAAATTTAGATGGAACTGAAGTCTGAACTTAGAATATCCAGTAGAATTTATTCATAAGAATTAATTTTAATTATTTGGAGTCTGGTGTCTTATACAGTGGGTCCCAAACCTTCCTCTGGAGCATCCTTACACACATTTTGGATGATTCCCTTACCTGACATACCCATTTTAGGCTTTTGAGTCTCTGCTAGTTAGAATTAGGGAGGCATACAAAATGTGTAGAGTTGGGGGTACACCAGGAGCAGGGTTGGGAAACACTGTTCTATTAGTAGGGAAACCTTGGCATGAACACACCTTGGGACACAAATCACAATTCAAAGACACTTGTAATTGCTTGTTAACACAAAGACTTAGTTTGGGGTGACTGAATGCTCATCACAATTTAAACAATTCTGTAGCGTTCCTGTATTTGCAGAATGCTAGTAACATCAAGGTTACGGGTTCGATCCCCCGGGAATGCATGAAAATGATCAAATACACTGAATGCAATGCAAGTCACCTGGAGGAAAAAGAAAAGCAAGCATGTAGTTCAGAAACAGCTCCCTGCATAGGTGAAATGGTCAATACAAAATACATGAGCAAAAAGAAAGTTATGTTTTGTAACAG